TTTCTTCTAAAATATAAAACTACTATTTATGTTAAATAAACTAATATATGCACTAATTATTTAATAGAAAACTCATGAAACACACAAATATGAAAATATTCACACTTGAACTTGCTTACTATAATTTTAAAGACAATATACTAACATCTCTAAGTAGTTTATAAATATTTAAAAATAAATATTATTTATTTAAAATAATTATTAAGATCGAAAATATTAATTGTAGAAGGTTTAAATATATTTTAGTCCCTATAAGATGGGTGATTTTGATTTTGGTCTTTGTAAATTTTTTCTTTATTTTTCATCCTTTTAATATTTATAAAGATTCTTTCCTACTTTTGAAATGATTAAAATATTTTTCTTTGATTTTCATCCCTCTAAAATATAAATTCACTAGTTTGATTATTTTAAGGTAGATAAATAATTTATTTTAAAAAACTAAAAAAAAATTAAAGGTGTTAAATATGAATACGATAATAGTACGTAATTGTTGTAGGTGACACCTAAGATAATTATTTATGTTTTTTTTTTTTAAATAAAAAGTAGTAAAAAATGATTACATAAAAAATAAGAATTAAAAATAAAAATTCCAATTTTAGAAAATGAAAATAAGAATTAAAAATAAAATAAAAAATAAGAAATTTCTAACGGAAAAATAAATCCGACAAAAAATTTCTGACGGAAAATTCTGTTAGAAATTTCCGACGAAAATATAAATCCGTCAAAAATTTCGGACGAAAATTTTCCGACGGATTCATATCTGTCAGAAATTTTCTGTCGAAAATTTGCGTTTTTCTTATAGTATATGGAGTTTATTATACGTTAAAAAAATGACTATTATTTTTTTTTTGTAATTTATTATTCAACAACTTTATAATTTTTAATCTATAATTTTACATATTTCCTCAAAAGGAAAAGGTAGTACCACTGTACCAGCAGCACAAGGTTCGGAATCTCAAAACCAAAAACAACGTAGAAATTAAAGTGCATTAAATTGCTCCCACTCTAGGAATTGGAGACTGGTTGCATGCATATGAATTGTGTATTACTATTGAGAGAATGCAAGTAGAAGTAAACAAGAGTGGAAAAGGTATACTTAAAGGGTGAGGAAAGGAAGAATCTATTCTAATCCCCTGAAAGCAACCTTTTCTTCCAACCATTGATTAGGTTAAAGATTAAGAATCTAGAGTTCATAGAGGAAAAGTATTTCATCATCATGAGGATTGCTTATCAATTTTTGCTAACGTTACCCTTATTAACTTACATAAAACACCCAAGCACCTTCGTTTTATTCTACAATATTGGAATGCTCTTCAATTCTTAATATGCTTAGACTAAACATGATGTTCTCTTCCTTTTTTCTTTGGCTTCTACTCTTCTTCTCTTCATTATTTTCTTATGGTATGTACTACTTTCTAATATCATTTTTTCTTATCTCACACTGTATTCCAAAATTTTGTAATGGACAATTTGTAATAGTTTGTTTAATTAAATTTGTTTGTAAAAACACTTTTAGAACAAGAAAATAAAAATAAATTTTTTCAAAAATTAAAATTAGCTTAAGTAAATTAATTTATAGAAATTCTATTGTGTCAACTTCTTTAAAAATTAATTTTTAATTTATGAAAAATTGATTTTAACTTACTTTATCCAAAGATCTTAATATTCATAAATGTGTTTAGATTAAGATATTGTACATTACATTTTACTTGGTCACTTTTGATCTTAATAAGTACTCTCATTTTGTCTAAAAATTACTGAAGTTTTAGCATTTGAAATAAAAATTCAAACTAATTAATGATTTCAGTTTTCAATGATGTAACTTTTAAAAAATTATTAATTTGCTAATTCCAGAATGATTGTATTTGTAGCACATGTATTGATAAAATTATATTATTTTAGTAAAATTATATATAAAGTTATTATTTTTTAAGTTGGGTATAAAAATCTTAAACCGCAATTATTTTACTGCGAAAGGAATAGAAGAAAAAAAATCATTACTGTTTTAATGTATAGTGTGACATGAAATTTCTAAGCAAACTTTCACATTTTGATATGATGCAGGTTTAGGAGATAAAGCATTTTCAGGAACATACGGAGTGAACTATGGTAGGATAGCAGACAACCTACCTTCCCCAGAAAGTGTGGTTACTCTACTCAAAGCAGCAAAAATTAAAAACATTAGGATATATGATGTTGATCATCAAGTCCTTCGTGCCTTCAAAGGTTCTGGAATTGAAATTGTGGTTGGACTTGGCAATGAATTTCTCAAGGACATGAGTGTGGGGGAAGATAGAGCCATGAGTTGGGTCAAAGAAAATGTTCAACCCTTTCTTCCAGGGACCAAAATTCGTGGCATTGCAGTGGGAAATGAAATCTTGGGAGGCACAGATATGGAACTTTGGCAAGTTTTGCTTCCTGCAGCAAAGAATGTTTATAATGCACTTACTAAGCTTGGTCTAGCAAAAAATGTTCAAGTGTCAAGTCCACATTCTGAAGCTGTATTTGCTAATTCTTTTCCTCCTTCCTCATGCACTTTTAAGGAAGATGTTCTTCCATATATGAAGCCTCTCCTACAATTCTTCTCACAAATCGGTACGATGAGTTTTTTGTATTTGTTTGATGTAGAGATATATTTTTCAAGACCCTTATTTATTTTTTTATCTAATGATATCAAACTTTGTTTGTACCTCGACAGGTACCCCTTTTTTCATAAATGCATATCCCTTCCTTGCATATAAAAATGATCCACAACATATTGACCTTAACTATGCCCTCTTTTTGAAAAATCCTGGGATTTATGATGCAAAGACTAAGTTGTATTATAGTAACATGTTTGAGGCTCAGGTTGATGCAGCTTATGCTGCATTGGAGAAGGTTGGTTTTGACAAGATGGAGGTTATTGTTTCTGAGACTGGTTGGGCTTCTCACGGGGATGAGAGTGAGGCTGGTGCAACAATAAAGAATGCAAGGACCTACAATCGTAATTTGCGCAAGAGGTTACTCAAGAAGAAAGGAACCCCTTATAGGCCCAAAAAAGTGGTGAGGGCTTATGTCTTTGCCTTGTTTAATGAGAATTTGAAGCCCGGCCCAACATCTGAGAGAAACTTTGGATTGTTTAAGGCTGATGGAAGCATTTCATATGATATTGGCTTCACTGGGCTTGTACCCTCTTCGGCAACTTCATCTTTCCTTTCCTTTAAGGTATGTATACCTCCTTTGCTTTCATTCTTAATCAACTTTTCTAATTTCTAGGAACTCTGCTAAAAAATTCCAAAAAATAAAATAAAGTAGGATAAATTTTTCACTATTTATTGTTGAGTTTAATGGTTATTTACTATTAGAAGTAAAAAGTTTTATACAATTAACTAATTAGAAATTACAGTTTGTATAATTTTTAATATAGATATTATAAAAGTCAACAACTTATCATTTATGATAAACTCTAAACCTTAAAACTGTTTTACAATTGTCTGTGTATAAAGATATCTTACTATCTTCCTGAGACTAAGTTCTATATATTAGTGACATTACTTTTCTATATGGCACACAATAACCTGGTTGTTTCAATAATTTAACATAGAGAAGTTTCCAATAATTATGCCTTGCAGGGTATTGGATCCTCGTCAATGGTGATGGCTTTTACAAGCTTTGCAGCTTTTCTTTTTGTAGCATTGTAATTGATCATAAGATTAAGGTACATGTGAATTCGGTGATTCTTTGGATTCTGTATCAGTTTTCTGTATTTTCAAGTTGTGGAGTTTTCATAACAAAGCTGTAACATAATGTATAGCTGATTAACTTTGTATTCTTTATTAACACTCTCAACAACGTACCATATATTTCTGTATTTATGCAGCAAGCGAATATATGAAAAAAAAGAAAAGAAAAAAAAAGAGCAAAATCGTTTCTACAGTTCTACCTAAAGATTTGTACTACGTTTTCGTACATGAAGGTGTATGCATCACTACCAAAGCATTTTATGCACGAACACTTTAAAAACCTTTTTGAAATGTTAATATACGTGTATGTCACTAATCACTAAACATGTATTGACAAATTCATTATCACATAGATATCAAGTCTCTAGTAGTTTATACTTTGTTGACGTTTTTAGCTAGTGCTTCTATTGTGCTGCCAACTCAGAATAATTGCCAAAGTGAAAGGTTCAACTAAACTAAACCAAAATTAACAAGTGCTCAAACTTTAATTAATTTATTGAATGTACATCAGATGAGCTTGTGTACCTGGACCATCAGGATTAACTATTAGATATAAAATATATTGCTGATTAAGAGGGTAACTGTCAAAATCACGTTTAAAATTTTATTTGATAAGCTAAAGTGAACTAACCGTTTTTAGTTTAATTGATTTGATTAGACTAAAAAAACGTTAAAAAACGTGACGAATGAGTAGCATTATTGTGTCAAGTTTAGTCTTTGTTCTACTGTTGAAAAGTCTTTTGGGAGTATAATTATACAGTGTGATCCTCGTGAGTATATATACGTTTTTATTTATTATTATTTTAAATGCCAAGTTTAAGAAAATGTTGAATTAAATAAGATATTGACCAAATATATATATCATATTAAAGGCAGGAGGGGATATAATGTATCTATTATATAAGTAAATATGATGAATGCTTGTGATAATTAAACTATGTATTTATAGCTGAATTCTAGAAGGATTCCATATTTCTAATAGTTAATTATATATTAAGATTTGCTAATGGGAATTTGATTCCTTCGCAATTCAGTTCGTAGAGTCAAAAGATATTCTCACATGTCATAATTTTTCATATTGTCCCTTTATTGGTTGTATATTTTGTTTTATTGATGTTTAGTTAAGGTGTATATCTTTAATTATTTATACCTTGTAAAAAATCTTCCGAATTATTTTCTATTTTCTCTGTTTTATTTCCCTTTTTTTTCCAACTTCTATTCACTAGAATTATAATGATAATAACAAGAATTTTCAACTTCTATTACTAAATCGGTTTTAATAGTTTATTTGGATTGAACATGAATTTTTTTAAATAATTTTTTAATTAAACCATAATATTTGCACTTGTAAGAAAGAAAGTTAATGATGTGAAAATATTAAAAAATATATATATAGAAAAAAATGTGAATAATTTTAATGACCAACTGTTCATAAGTAATAAGTCATTAGTTACAAAATAAGCATTTAACGTCTTTTAAAAATGTAGACACTAAATAAAATGTTTTGTTTATTAATAATTAATAAGGAAAGAAGTATTCTGTGTCTTTTATTTTTTTTTAAATAAATAAATAAATAATTATTGAAAACATGTGAAGAGACTTTTTATTGTCAGAGTGTTTAAAAATAAAATAAAAAAGAAAAATAATAATAAAGTGGTAGTTCTTAAAAAATTCTTCAACATAAAAGTAAACATCCTAACATTTACTTAAAATTACCTTAACTAATACAGTATATTAATATAATTTAGATAATTGAATGTTCATTCAATCATCCTAGATCTTCTCATCTTGTGCTCGATCATAAAGGGATCTAAATCAAACAGTGGAAAATTATTATTTAATTTGAAGGGGAAATAATACTAACGCTAGTTCTAAAATCTTGAAACAATATCAGATGGTTTTTCATCTTAATTTTATTATTTTCAACATCAATGGCAGCATGTCTGACATTTTTATCCAGCTCATTATACAGGCACAAATTATAAATTATTTTATATTTTTATTATTATTAAACTCTTCATTTAAACTGATGGCACCTAAATATTTTTTAATAATAATAAATAAATAAATAAATAAGCTCAACTTATATTTTAAAGCAGAATATAAAATTTACAGAATGGCATAGGAAATTGAAAACTTATTCTTTCAAGGACAAGCATGAGGCAGAAAAGAAGGGCTAGAGGTTCCCTTGGTGAGGGACAATCCAAAGCTCAAAGATTAGTGAGTTAAATTAAATAAAGCACTCATCACCATACTTCAATGCTCAATGCCAGTGTGATGAAATCTGTAAATGCACTCTATTCCCTTTCAAGTTTTAATCTTCTGTGCTAGGGTGCACGGCAGGTTCCGTGGTGGCATTACTATCAACGTAATCCTCACCGTTGATCTGATCAAGCACGAGCACAAACCCCATGGCAAAGGCAGCATCAAGACCAGGCTTAACAGAAAGCGAGAACACTTCCCTACCAAGCACAACGCTGGTGGTGGGGTCCACTTTTCGACGAATCTCAGCCACCGACTCCTTCATCGCATTGAAAACCGTGCAGCATCGCTGCGAGAAGCACCCTTCGATCTGGTACTCCTCACCCGGGTTCTCGTACATCTCCACCGTCAAACTCCCACGCGAACGTCCTATGATCGACGCTCTTTTCACGCTGAAGATGGGCTTATCACCGTCCATTCTCTCCCCCTTGAACCCCTCCCACCGTTGATGCAAACTCGGCCTCTGCCAAACTCAAATCAAACAATCACCTAAATTAAACTATATCCAATTATCAATCGCCTAAACTCTAAACCATGCCTAAGTCCCACATCGTAGAAATCGAATTTACATTTGATTAAGGAGAGAAATAAGTAATACAGTACCTTTCGACGAACGGTGAGGAGACAACGTCCGTTAGGGTCCATGAGAACGAGTTCATCTCTGTCGCGAGTGTCGGGTCCGTAAGAGTCAACTCTGAAGACGAGTTGACCCTTGCAATCGTATACGGTGAAACCATCGCCCGCGAAGAACAGAGAGGTTTTAAGCACCGTTAGATTCATCTCTTGTTTGAACACGCACGATGCATCTTCAACCTCACCTGCGCCAGAAGCCACACAAAGGTCCATGGGAATTCCAATTTGGAAACAACTGTATTCTGAGAATAGTGATGTGGGTTGGCTTTCCTATTTCTAATGCAATTATAGGAAAATCTCCACCATATGCATTATGCAATTTATGGCACCAATTAATTATTAATTTATAAAGTGGGGTTCTGAATGGAACCATGCATGGGAGAAAAATATCTACACACATGATGCGACACTTTTTTTTTCTTCTTTTTTTATGTAAACTTTTTTAGTATTACTTTTAATTAAATTATTATTATTTTTTTACATAATACTTAGCTTTGTTCTTTCTTATATTATAAAAAAAAATTTCTTTGCATAATAGAACCCCTAATCATGTATAAATATTAAAACGCGAGGAAAAACAATGTACATATACTTTAGTTGTCTCTTGAATCGTTATATGAATCAGTTTCCATTGGTTGTGGCCCCGTTCATTGACTTGATTCATTTGGGCTAATTCAGTGCCACTTGTTAGTTGTCTTTGCTCTTATGTTTGAAGAAAAATTGAAATCAGAAAATATGGAATATCGCAATGGGGAAGCGAATAATTGTCCATTACATACTTTTCTTTGGACAAAATAGACAAACGGAAAAAGAAATGTGTGGCTAGTGTATTATTGAGTTTGATTTTCAGTTAATTAAGTAAAGTTTAATTATCTAAATTAAACATTGAACACAAAAATCACCACCTAATAATTTTCCAATCATAATATGTAAATGAAGGTGATGGGCATGGCAGGCTTTCCCAGAGTCCCTACCCAAAAATTCAAATGACAAACATATAGAAATTCAAGTGAATGGCATTATGGCACACACGAAGTGTACACGTAGGTGGAGGACTATATATCATTATTAAGTTTGCTCAAAGTCAAAAGCCACTATGTATTATGGAGAGAATCTCTATCCTCACAGCCTTTCTCACCGTCACATTTTGCTAACACACTCAAACGTATTTTTCATCACTTCAACAACGAGTTGAACTGCAAACACCTACTTTACATACTAATAATAATAATAATATATAATTGTTTGACACGCGTGCTTTTACTTTACTTTACCTACGAATCAATTAAGTTGGTGTTCTAAGATGTTACAATGGTCCTAAAAAAAACTGGAAAAACAAGAAATTACAAAAAAAAAAAAGAGTATTTAATTTATATAATAGTACATATAATTTATTTGTTTATTTATATTTAAGTATATTTTTAGTCTCTAAAATGAACAAATTTTGACTTTGGTCCTTATAATTTTTTTTTAAAATTTTTTTTATCTTTATAAAATTTGTAAACATTATTTTGTTTCTTGTTTAATATTTCTGAACATATTATATTGAAAATTAAAGGATATTGTTGCCTCATTACTGATATAATTATAATTAGACTAATTTTTTGTTTGAACAATTAATGAGACTTTACCGCTTGAGTATAATAGAAGATATATGTATATATTTAAAAAATATTTCGTATATGAAATATTTTTACTTTTTCAAGAATCTAAAGTTAAAAATGTTATTGTTTATGTATAGTTTATCATAAAAAAAATAACATTTTTAAGAAATATAGATTCCTAATAATATTTTTTATACCATTTTCTCACCAAATTGTTTTGATAATTAAGAATCTAACATTTTTAAATTAAAATGAATATTTTATTATAGTAAAAATCTTATGTTATCTTAATTAATTTTCTCAGTAAAAATATTATATTATCTTAATTTGGTTTGTTAACATAGTAAAAATTTATGATTTTGAGTTTTTTTTTATAAGCAAAAAGAGAAGTATAAGAGGTACTCAAATCCGTTACAAAATACAAAGTTATCTAAAAAAAATGTGTGATTCTAAGTAACATTTATAATTATTTCAAAAAATATTTATGATTAATCAAATATATTTAAACATTTTTGAAAATTGTAATTCTTAGAAATCATGATTTTTGAGTATGAAAAAAAATTTATCAAATAAAATTATCCTCTAAAGGAGATACTTGTCAAGAAAATAAAAAACTCAAATCAATTTTTTTTTTGTTAATTTTTGTTTGTGGTTTTAAAATCTTCTCGTTAAGCCAATGTTAATGGTTGAAATTTTATTAGTTTAGTCGCTTATCTAATTTTATTAATAAAAAAATTGGTTTTTTTTTTCTAAACTTAATAACCTATTTTTATTTATTGTGCTCGCGTTCATTTGACTTAGACTTTCAATTGGTTCAATTTCAATCAATCTTTAGTTACATAAAGCACCTCTTTATAAATGGAATATAAAAATGTTTTTTTTTTTACGTATGTGTCCATTTTTCTTTTTTTAATACTATTCAACTTATTTAAATATGTAATTTCTTATTTAATTTTTATTCATCCAAAATAATTAATTCTATTAATTTGTTTGTTTTTTTTTCTTCATCTAATAATTATTTAATCAACTCAAACAAAGTGTTTGTATTCTTGATCGAGATCAACTAGCCATATAATCCAGATCGCATGTATCAACCTGAATTTGCTATTTGTTTAAAAAAAGGAAACCCGAATTGCGTATTTCTTAGAAATAAAAAAAGACTTTTTTTTTTTTACGAATTTGGGAATATATAATTCATCTGTAAACCATTTCTAAGAAGGGCTTTTAATTTCTTTTTCTACGATTGGTGTTTGAAACTATCTATACTATTGTTTGGGGAAAAATTGTTTCAGACGAATTTATTTACTCATTCGGTTCATCCTATTCAAATGAAGCAATAATCGCATATAAACAAAAGCACTTTATGTTAAACGAATAAAGCCTTTTAAAAGTAAGACTATTTTTAATTAAACACGTAAAAATATATTGGTTATAATTTTTAATATGACCTTTTTTCCCGTTGTGTAACGTTAACTATATCTGTACATGCGTGTGTTTAGATAAGTGGACGAAATTTGCCACATTGAAAGGTACAACTGTATTAGTATTTGGGTTATCATTAACTGAAATAAGTTGTTTTTCGCTTGTGATCGGGTCGGGTGAAGAAAGTCTGGTGGGCCTATTTGCTGGGCTCCAAGAGACACCAACTTCTTTGTTTCACGTCAATGAGATAAATAATAATATAATTATAAGAGTTAATCATTCCTACACTATCAGTGTAAAAAATTTTACACCGGCAACCAATCATATCTTTTAATGAAATATTTTTATTTCATTAAGTGAGCAACTGATTTGGTACTATTAAAGGATATGATTAGTTGTCAGTGTAAAAAAACTTTATACTAATAGTGTATAAGTGATTAACTCTAATTATAAACTAGATCTATGTAAAGATTTTTATGTATTGTCAATACAAAAAAAAATTACACTATCAACTAATATAAAATAGCAGGTATAATTTTTAAGTAATAACTTTTACTATAAAGAAAATAGTTAATATTTAAATATTATACTTAAATTGTTATGTATAATAAGTTTGTTGATTTTTGAAAAAAAAAAAGCTTAAATATTAGACCTACCATGATTTCTAATTGGCTTATGGACTAAAACCTATTTACACAGATAGTGTATAGAAATTAATTTATTACTATACAAATCAACATTTTTATTATACATGGCGACATGTGTGATTGAGATGACTGCAACATATATTCATATGTGAAAATATATTTTTTCATAAAATGATTTAAAATGTGTGGTGGTGTTGATCCAATTATAATAGTGAGAATGGACTGGATCATGCGCATAAGAGATAAAATCCAACATATGAGTGTGGCTGCCTAGCTAAGCTTATCATCTTGAGTTCCATAGTTTTTTGTTTTTAAATTTTTTTGGTATATTCCTTTTTGGATCAGTACAAATTGTTAGGCTATGGGCTGTCATATCATATTGAAATGTGAAGCATAAACCCAATAAAGTGAGTCTGAACTGGATTTGCATCAAACGTAAAGGATGTATATATTCTCCAAAAAAAGAATCAATAACTCAACTCCGATCCGTTGTACTTATCTTTATTTGCCCAAAATGAAACTATATATTTATCCAAGAATAAGTATACTTGGCATTCTATTCCCTAGTAATTAATCCCATCCTTTTCTCTATTAAAAAATATATAGAATCAGTATTGGAGGAGACGGAAGTTCTGGTAGGAAGATTTTTACGAAACAATTGACTCAATTATATAGTACAAATACAATAAATTTGATTATTAACGGAAATCAAGAATGATGATTTACGAGTGAAGTTGGTAAATAGAGGAATTTTGATTGATTTAAATTAACGTTAAAGGGGTAACAGCAAATTAAGCATGGCCCAAAGAAGAGAAGAGCATGATAGGACGTATTTACAGGAGAATTCAAAATAGGTGATCATCCCTAGCCTACACATAAATATAAATAATCTAGGTAGCAATTGGTTTGTGCATGCCTAAAAGTAGAACTAGAACTAGAACTAGAACTAGAACTAGAAAGGCGTGCAATTTCTTTGCATTATTGATTTTGATTCTGCACGGGGTATCTGACTCCTGCTACCAATGCACGTTGCTGCTCTATCTGTACGTAAATTAATTAGTCTGAAATGTTGAACATAATAATAATGATTAATGAAAATTAATGTAGTAATAAAATGCAACATTTAATTAATTACTTGGAAAAGTTGATGCAATTTGTTCTTGAGATAGCAATATTCATGCTCGAGCATCTCCAACGCACGCAAGCATCCAGCACGGTTGGTCTGGAGAGTAGCAGCACGAAAGGCAACGCAAACGTTAGTGACTCTCTTGGCACCAATGCTTGAGCTGCTACCCATGAACTGGTTCAAATGGACCCCCATTTTCTTGTAGTCCCTTTCCATGCTGCATGGTGCATTGGTGCATTGGTGCATGCATATAACGTTAATTAGACATATATATATATATATATATAATAGTATAATATAATGCAAGAATATTAATTAATGTTACGTACAGCAATCCTCTGAGATTGGTGAGTAGCTTCTCGGACTCGTGGAAGTAGATGTTGAGGACCTCTGAGACGAAGTTAGGGGAGGCCTCATCTTGGAGCTGTTGAAGCTGCAGAAACTGCTCATCCAACACACCCTGCAATATGTAACATATTATGAAACATATAGTTATTATGATATATATGCACATAACATATAGATAGATAGATAGCTCATACCTGGTGGAAAAGAAAAGCGAGGAGTCGGTTCATGTCGGCCCACAAGAGGTCGGCACCGAAACCAAGCATCCACAGAGGGAGACCCGTTTTGGCTAACGTAACTCAACCACAACAATTAACTTACGGACACCAAAAACCACCTCTCTTATTCTTTCTTTCTTTTGGCTTATATGTGCTACCTGTCGCCACTCGCAGGGAATGCCACTGCTATTTATACCATTCCTCCAGATAAAATATGATGTCACATACATTTAAAATTACAATTAATACTATGCTATTTCAACTATTATTGTCTTAAAATTGTACAGTAAAATGTAAAAGCAAATTTTGGTTGAATAAATGGAAAGAAAAGTGAGTGGGAAGTAAAAAGTTGGCATTAATTAAAGAAAGGAAGGCATGCGGTTTATGGGAGTAATCGAGGCGAATGTGGGTTATATACCGACCATTACTTGTTTTGTTGCAAATGCAAATGCAAATGCAAACTCAAATGCAAATGCAATGCCTCTCCACCTCACTTCGCGTGCGCCCTCTCTCTAGTCTCTTCCAACCAAATGCTCCATTTACCCGACAACTGCCTGAACCCTTAATTTATTCCATAAATTCACTTCATGGATTTCATAATCTAAATCATTTTCTCTTAAATACTTCCACAGAAAGCATAGGCCATCATGAATGCGCAACAGTTTTAAATACTCAGTTGTCTCGAACAATTTTGTCCCTAGTAAAAAAAATATTAATTTGTAGCCCATTAAAATATTGTTTTCTCTTATATTCTTCCTATAACATGAAGTATTATGCTTCAAAAACAAAAAACAGATAAAACTTACATATTTAAACACACTATAATTAAGGTTGTAGTCAGATGATGTATTAGAATGTGTTAACTTACACTGTTAGAATAAGAGGATGAGCATATGTTTTGTGAAAGTTGGCACGCGGCGGAGTATGGGAAAATGAAAAATTTGTCTCTTTGTTTCTGCAACTTATTACTTATGAAGGGATAGACTTTTGAACTCATGATGGCCTAAACACCAAACCATACTTCATCTGCCACCCACTTCACACGCGGGGGAAATGGGAATCAATCACAAAATTATAGGTTATACAGTTATATATGCTACTATTATTTATATTTTATCAATGAATCACTCTATCTAGGACCACACCTCTTGCAACTGTACTGAATATATGATCCATGTGAGATTCAAATTGTTCAATGTTACAACTACTGCTGCTCAACTTTAATTTTATTATCTGTTTATTTTCTTCTCCTGTGGATTGTTAAAATTATTTTATTTACAATAATGAAAATAGTGTAAATTGATAAATAAAAAAATCAAATATAATTATTTTTACATTATTGTTTATATATTATTAGAAAGTGGATAAAAATTTAACTAAATTTTGTAAATCGACTTGTGATCTTATTTATAGTTAATTAATGTGAAATCTTCAATATATTTATCTTGAACATAAAATTTGTTAAACTAGACACATGCAGGTGATTTGGTAACAATCCAATAGCAAATGACTTAATAAATCCAAAAATATTCGTTAAAATGATTTCTAATATCATCTTTAAAGAACAAATAAGAATTTAATTTATTACTCAATCTTATAAAATTAATTTATAAAATAAAAATTATTCTTCAATTATATACACGTGCTGAATGTGCATCTCCAATGTATATATGTGTTGCTTGTGATTGAAATATATCATAATTGAAATACGTCATTGAATAAAAACCGAAAAAAGTTTTTAAAAATAAAAATAAAAAAAAAACACTCTAACAAGGTATAATTAACAGTGTCCGACGACACGAGTCAACTAGAATTAATACATTAGTGTTTTTTTTTTTACACAAAGAATTAATACATTAGTTAGACAAGTTAAAATTAAAAATGTCGCACAATTACTTTTTCTATCGCGCTTTCTGTTTAGCATTTCAGTAATTTTAAGCTAAAAGGTGAACCACGAGTTGAATGCATTGCTGCCAACGCCATTGCATACTTTTTATGCTCAATCACACATGCAACCGTTAAATATGCACTTTAACTTCCAACAAAAAAAAATGTGAACTTTTCTTTAGGATAAAAAAATTCACTTTATACAATTAACCGTACAGTATGAGTGCAAAACCAATCTTTGGTATGGGTTAACTTGCTTCGGTGTTACAACTTACAACTACTTTATTTAATTATTTATTTTTATACATGTTTTGATAGTACTACTGAGAAGCATGCATGTTATTAATTAATTATAGATACCTAGAAGCTCGAAATACTTGTTTGAAAGACATATTTTGTTCATAGTCTACTGACGTAAGCAAACTATACTCAAGCATGCTAATCATAATATTTGTGTGTGGATGATAGAATGGGCTTTATAACTCCAAAAATAAATAAATAAATTATAAGTTAGTTAAGGACATTATTTTCTTATAAGAAGATACAATTTTTTTTATCATACCAATTTTTATAAAAATAAAGTGATATTTCGACTTTTATAAAAATAAAATGTCAAATCAATTAAGTTATCAACTTTTGATACTAGATAAAGATATTATTTAAAATGTTATTAAATTTTAATCTTTAAAGTCATAATAACACTTATATAATCATTTAATTGTCTGCATTAACTATCTAAGTTATATAAGTGTATTTTTCTTCTTTTTTTTTTCCTATAAAAAAAATACTATGGGCATCAATGAAGAAATGTTTCAGACTTAAATTTAGATGCTCATTCGAGTTCAACTTGTTCATATAAGCATACTTTGCATTGATGTAAGCAGCTTGCTACTTAAAGCATATTAACATTGCTTTATAGTTTAGGGTAGTACTTATAGCCCTTTCAAAAAAAAGTAGTACTTGTTATAGTTAAAATTTATAATGGTGCTCTCCCGTGCTTATTTACAGTGACCATTATTCTATTCCAACAACCAATATATGCCTTTTGTCTGTCTTTATATGATTATTGTTTCATTTCCCTTTTGGTTAATTTCGAAATGCTAAATGAGTTTTTGTTCTCTAAGAACATAAAGTTTTTAAATATTGTCATTGTCTTGTTTGTTAGAGTATGGTGGTTAAGTGGTGAAGACAGTAATGAAAAACAGGTGGTCTCAAATCTCAATGCTCGAGGTTGTTGTCTTCTAAGTTTTTAATTACATGAGCTGTTTGCATAACAGATACCTATTCCCTTTCTTTTCCTTTTCGTTTGGTCTTTCCAAGAATTTCTTTGAATTTCTTGCCACGTTCAGATCCTCTTGCGTGCTGAGTTATGTACTACTATTTATCATATATAATGTTCCAATAATGCTGTCAAATTTAAGCCAGATAATTCTCAAAAAAAAAATTTATGATTTCATCATTGTGAAATATTTTCTTTCTTCAAATTATTAGTAAAATTTATTTTCATGAAAATGCAAAAGATTCATAAAATTAACGACGTCATAACATTATTTTAATAAATTCTTTAGACTAAATTGCACTTATCACAATTTTGATATACTTTTTAGTTACACAATTTTAATCCCTTAAATTCACCTTCTATTTTGCTATTATTCAAACTACTAAGTTATTTATACAATATTATACTATGTTATTTTATTTTTAATTTCATTTTCTTCTCAACTTTTTAACACGACATTAATACCAAATGAACCCTTAGCGAATCTGAGTTACAATACAAGTATTATATTGTATATAGCATTATTGTATCAGTTAGGTTTAATTTTAAAATATTTATTTGATGCTAAATGTTAAATATAGCATAAAATTATCTAGCAAAAAATATTTAGCTTAAAATTAATAATTATAAATTTACATAATAAAAATAAATATACATTTTTAATAATTAATTTATATAATCTATTATTTAATATATTTTCTATAATCAATTTAAATACAGATTTATTTATCTTTCATTTTCTTTTTAACTCTATTCTCTTCTCATGTTTTTTTAACTCATCATTGATATTATATTATTTTATATATTATTATCCAATAAATACAAATTATATTTTCATTTTTTAGTTTAAATTATAAATGTGAAATTACATTAAATATTCAGATTTTTTAATAATGATTCTACATGTTCAAACATCGATATCTTTCACACAAAAAAATAGGTTAAATTATTCAATTGATTTTTTATTTATTTTTTAATTTAGTCCCACTATTTTTGAATGAGTTAATTTAGTCTCATTTTTATATTATTATTTGTTTTATCAGTTGATAATATTATATTTACAATAAGATCAAATAATTTACTTGCACATTGCATGTAAATGGTCAAAGACTCGAACCTTATTTGCGTGATAATGTTGAAAGACTCACCAATATGACTCATCTCAAGAAGTTTTGACTACACAACAATGTTCAAAAAACTTGGTATAAATAAAAATGACAATTTGATCCATAATATCTACGAATGAAATAAAAAATATAACAAATAACAAGTAAAAACTATCAACAATAATTAATTTTAAAAAATTTAATCTTGATCACTCAATCTTACCAACAAATATACACAAGATTGTCATGGTGTTGTGAAAGAGTAGTAGAAAAAATGTATAAAGAAGAAGAAAAGTGAAATAGCCTAATAAGGGTTAGTGAGACTAAAATAAAAATAAAAATATATAAAAATCTCTCTTTTGAGGACAATAAAAAAATAATAATAAAACAATCACCCAATTGGAGCAATGAAACTTATAAAATATATAATATAAAATAGTCTTCTAATTAGACATACACACATCAAACAATTTTTCTACTAAAAAAGCAACACTAAAAATAAAATAAAATAAGTAAAATAAACAAGTCCCCCACTTAGGGACAACATCACTTTTACTAAATAAAATTAAAATGAGTGATGCTAAAATCAGAAACATCAATGGTGATCTTACATGCGACTTTAATACTATCAAAATGGTATCATGTGTTCGTTTTTTTAACATTTTGCAAAAAACAATTATGTGGCATGGGTGTCGTTAGTCAACGATATCATTGACCAACGACACCATTATAATTTTAAAACAAATAGTTTAGTAATTAAGTTATAAAAGATCCAATAATATTTATATTATACATTAAAGAATAATTTAAGTATAGTGAAACAAAAGGTAATAGTCCAAAGATCAACATCACAAAGAAGACCATATTAACCAATTCTTTATATTGTCCATAAATTTAAAAATATATTTTTTATTCTAATAATAAAATCTAACTTAATTTGTCAACTTATTTTTATTCAACTATCCACTCATACAAGAAAACTCTTATTTTAACCTTAAAAATTATATTTTTAAAGTTAAACAAGAATGCAATTACTTTAATGACATTTTCAAATTTAATCAAAAACCAGTTTAAGTAACAATTTTGAGCAAGGCATGTATAACACACAGTTAACAAAGAAGCAAGAAAAATACTCATCATTCCGGAATTTCACCTCATTTTCTCCTTATTTTTTGATTATTTATTGTTTATTCTATCATTCATTAGTACAAATTTTGTTATTTACGTCACTATTTTATCGTTAGAAAACGAAAAATTCGATGTAAAAAAATGCAGTAGTATTTGAAATTTAAACCAAGTTTTTTATGTCGGACACTACTAGGTCCGACGTAAAATTTAAAATCTACGTCGGCCCTCTATATAGACCGACGTAGATTTAAAAATTTACGTCGGAGCTCGTGGTGTCCGACGTAAAAATTTGTTATATCTCCTTTCTCTTATTCATTTCTTTGCGCGCGCTCTAGGAATTTATTTGCAGAACGTTCAGACGACCTCCGGCGATGAGTTTCTACACATCCTGGGTGTTTCCGGTGACGTTGAACGGCGGCGACAATGGTCGCGATGTCCATTCATCATTGCAGATCATTTTATTCAATTATATTGAAGTTTTGGTGCGCGTCTTGCTTAAGTTAGCGTTTAAGGATACTCGAAGGTGTTGGGATTCAAGGTTAGTGCAAATAGATTGGATTGGAGGATATTTTTGAACTTAAACATTGTTTGTGTGTGTTATTTTGGAGGATTTATGGTTATTCCATAAGTATATTTTTTAAATGAAAACATACGTATGTCATGTGTTAATTTTACATCTGGAACTGCCCGTTCTCCAACTGGAACGGCTCGTTCTCCAACCAGAATAGCCCGTTCTGCTTGCATATGTCATGTGTTAATTTTGCATCTAGAACGTTCCGTTCTCAAACCAAAATGGCTCGTTCCAGATGTATAATTAACACACAACGAGTACAAGCAAAATGGGTCGTTCTAGTCTTAGTTTTTCAACTTTTTTACGTCAGGACTCGAAAACAACCGACGTAATATTACGTCAGCTTTTAAACCCGACATAAATTTACATCTTCCATATTTATGTCAGACGTTTTTTCGACATAAAAACTTGAAAATAACATACGTAAAATACTCTTTTTGCACTAGTGATTCATCATATCTATTACTTTTTTTATTTTTCACATTCTTTTCCTCCTATCCCTCTTATTTTCTCTATAAATCGCCCCAATGCAACTCCTCAAAAAGTATAGCATATTGCACTTGGTTCCAATGCAATCAAAAGAAATAAACGAGTCATATATATACTTTTCATTTGTAAAAAGACCATTATTTCTGAAGGAACCAGTAATTTTCGCTATGTCATAATAACATGTTACCTACCCTTTCAAAAAAAAAAAATGTGAAAAAAAATCGGTTTAAATTCGAACCGAATTAAAAAAAATCATAACTAATTTTTTTTTAAAAAAAAACTGCATTATTTAGATAAATTAGATTTTAAAAACTTAACTATATATATTGGTAATTAGGTTCACTATATTATTTTTTAAATAATAAAATAAAATCAAAATTATTTATTTATATCTCTTATGATTCAATATTTTACAGTATCACATAAAATAGTTTAAACATTACTTATGGTTATTCTTTTTATTTTTTCTTTCTTAAAAGTTTTTTTTTAATTATTTTTAGACTATAAAGTAAATATTAATTATCAAATTATACTTTAAAATTAATTTTTCACATAACAATTATAATTTTTTAATATTTTTAACTTTTCACATGAAAATTATAATCCTCGAATATTTTTTAATTAACTTTGAATTTGTTTGTGTTAACGTTTTTTCTTTTAAAAATGATTTTTAATAAAATAAAAAATTATACTTTTAAAAATGTATTCACCTATTTAATTAATCTCCACTTTTCCAATGTATTTACCTACTTAACTAATCTCCACTAATAAACATTTTTAATGTCTCTAAAAGTGCATTAATTGTGACTTCAAAAAATATTTTTCTTAAAAATACTGGTCTAAAACTAATTTAATTTTTAAAGCTGGTTGAAATTTGGTTTAATTCTAAAACAGTTTCTAAACCGGTTATGAACCTATTTAATTATAAAAGCAATTTAGTTATGAATCGATTCATTAATATAGTTAGTTCAAATAGTTCATTTCATAAACGGGATAAAAGAATACATAATACGGTACGATTCATGGGTGCAATTTTTTTAAAAAAGCAAATCATGCACACCTGATGAAACGTGTCTATAAATATAGATTAGGTTCACAAACATAAGTGTTTCTGTGTACAATACATTGTAACAGAAGATGCAGACTTATTTTGACGATACTGAACTGTACCTCACACCTTCGATACAAAAACACAGTTCACTAGCATTCCAAAATGCTCAGTTCTAGTATCATTATAATTAAAGTATAAACTAAGGCTCCAACAATCAACATGCATGGGACAAAACTACGCTCGTCAGTCGTCACAGATCATCCGAATCTGATAGCAGATAGTGTCTTATAACTCTGATTATATCAGTAAGTGACACAACCCCCACGAGCAAACCCTCTTGATCCACCACCCAAACTCGATGAACATGCTTAGTCACTGCCTTTTCAATTACCTCAGACAAGGGTGATTCACCATAGCATGTCACAAGCTCCCTTCTGTACCCTCTATTCTGCATGTCTGATTCCCTGTACAAAGGACTCGATGCAACTTCTTCGGTGAACGCTAATGCACTTATTCCCAACCATGATTTCAGCGTGGCCAAGTAGCAACCCCTCAAATCAGTTGCTGAAAATGTACCAATAAGCTTCCTGCATCTTCCCTGCAAAAAGTTCCACAAAAATCAGCAATATTCTCGTGATAAATACTAACAACGCACTCTCAAACTCAGCTTTTTGAACACTCTTTTTATTAAAAATCGCAAACCGATAAGAATGTTAGTGTATTACTAGCACTCCTAGTATTTCCATATGTTTCTGTTATGACAAGTATAAGGAAAATGCTATAATCAATGTCCTGAAAGTACTGGTTATGGAATGGTTAAGGAATTAAAAACTTTATCTGTTTCGATCTAATTTTATCGTAATTTTCAATAAAAACTTTCTGCATATTGATTCTTTGACACGACAGTGGTTAGCAAGAAGTATAATGAAAAGAGGGTCAGTGGAGAATTAACGAGACTTGCATTTATATGCTGTTTGTGATCATCTTCACCAACATTAGAGGCTTTAACGATAGGAACAGCGTTTAGCATAGCAGCCTTTAAGCACTTGATGGCATGGACGAGTTTTGTGCGGTCAGTGATGGCATAAATCTGTTCAGTGTTGGCTCCCAAATCTTGAACAGAACGTGACAGAATGCTCTGTAGCTCACGAGCACGATCGTTCAAGAACCTAAGCACATCCATCTGAGTCAGCATTAGATAGCTCGAAGCAGACTCCACAAGTTCAACCCCAGCTGACACGTTCTCTTCTAGTTCTTGCCCATCGACAGGTACCATAGCACGATGCACCCCTTTGCTCAACACTTCCATACAATCTAACAGACTAATATATCATACAAACATTACAATTAAGAAGAACTAAACAAACCCACAAAGAAGAATATATTTTGAGCAAGGAAAATTGTCTGCCAGCACATCTTACTAATATGATAATATTAACAATATGTTACTGAAAAATGAAACATATATATATGCCGAGTATTTACTGTTTAACAACATTAATTAAAAGAAAGGTTGACAAGTTAATTAACCTGGTATTAGGATTGAGAGTCCACAAACTAAGACCTTCAAAGGAGTGGCCAATGATGGAAGAGACCGGGTCAGACAACTTTTGATCAAGGTCTTCTGTTACATTATCGCCACAACTCAAGTGGTCATCACCAGCGATGTGGGCCACAATATCAAGCATCGTCACCATCCCTATGTAATGTTTCCTTACGGCCCCGGTTTGCTTATCAGACTCAACGATCATCGACCCTCCGGCTCCGATCCACTGCCCCGGCGGCGCCGCTACCGGCACCGCCGCCACCTTGTTCGCCACGAGTGTGTGCATCGTGTGTGCCAACGACGCCGTGTACGGCACCTCCACTAGCCTCCTCTTCTCCACCATCAAATCTTTCACCTTCTTCTCTTTTAGTCTCATACTCTCGCTGCGTTGCATGTGCATGTGCTTCTCCTCCTTCATCTCCTGCATGCTTTCGAATTTTCTCAAATGCTTCTTCCTAGTCAAAAGATGGGTACTGATGGGAAAATATAGAGCGAGCATCAAAGATATCAAGAGATTTAATTAAAGCATTGTTAGGGTATGGTGTTATCGTTGTTGATCTAATTCTTTTTTCTTTTGTAGGAACATTTTTACACGTGTAGTTTTGTGAGATTTGTAATGTTGTGCATGCATGCTCTGCTCTTGCCATGTGTGGTTGTATACTAGATGACTCATCAAAGACACATGTTATATGGCGACACCTTATCAAGTTTCTGCATTGTTTTTCTTCTGTAACTAATATATTACGTATCATAGGCTTTTCCATGCACCATAATCTTGCGTCGGTATCAGGTATACCATAAATTTTTAAGGAATTAGTACCGTTATCTTATAAATTAGGAAGTTTTGATACGGCCTATATTTTTAAATTAATGAAAACGATGTAAAGTATTAACTTTTTTATCTTTTCTTTTTTTTCTTTTTTAACACTAAATAATATGTTCTTAATAAATAAATAATTTAAGTAATTAATTTACTATTTTTTTCATAAAATATTGATTAAGTGTTTCAAATTATTTTTAAAAAATAAAAATAATTTTAAGAAGAACACAATAAGACTTTATTTACTTAAAATTAAGAAATTTTTTGTAAATTCTTTATTTAATTTAGTTCTTATAATTTATAGACAAATGTAAAAAAAATTAATTTATCATACTTCATAATATATCAAAAATATTTTTATTAAATTCAAATATTCAAATATTAAGAATTTTAAAAAAATATATTAAAATAAAAAATAAAAATATGTCAAAAATATAAACAATTATAAATTAAATGTTTAAATATTTTAGAAAACAATAACAATTTTAAAATCTTTTAAATATATAAAAATACCGTAGAATTTATAATATATTTAATATTTCAACTCTGCAAAAGTAATTTTGTAATAATGTATTCAGGCTATCGTGTTTATTCTTTTGACAACACACGCTCACGTGTTTATTAAAGCCATCGTTGATCTAACAAAATTATTGACAATGAATGCTGAGGTGACTACTGACTAGTATTAAAAGCAGTGGGAGAGCATAGCCGATAATAAATAAAAGAAATAACAAGACACTAAAAAACAAATTATGATACATTTGAAATTTCGTTAAAAATTACTTTTACATGCTCACAATACGATATAATATATATTAATATATTATTAAAAAATATAAATATAAAATATAAGGATACATGAACATGATATATATTATTAAATCTCGTTTAAAATTAATATTAACGATATATGTAATTATATATTTATAGTAATATATTTTTGTAATTATATATAAAATTTGTTTTAGTGAAATTAAAATAGTTAATAAAAAACATTTTTTACTTATGCTCACTCTTTAATCATGATGTGAGTTCAATCTGGAATGAAGTTGCGATAAAATATCCAAATCGTAGGGTGTAAATCTCGTGACGCACATAAATGCTGAAATTCTCCCCCCAATTTATACACTACCGTCCTTTCTCGTGAGCACACATCATGCACATCACCAACTTCGCATTTAAACACATCCTCTCCATCACTCATTCATTAATGCATCAATGATCAACCTCACACACTATAAAACAAGAACAAAAAAATTAAAATTTCCTCATACCACTCCAAAATGAATCCATCTGTAGTAGTACTATATTGGTGCACGCTTACGCTTTTGTTACTCCATGCAGTAACGTCGGATTTCGGGCTCCCCTCCACCCTGGTGGACGGCCCACAAACGCCGTTTTCCGTGCCCCAAGACGGCGCCCGAACGGAGAGAGGAGAGCAAGAAGCGGTGTACGACATCATGAGAGCCACCGGAAACCACTGGGCCACCGACATCCCCGACGTGTGCCGCGGGCGCTGGCACGGCATCGAATGCATGCCCGACAAGGACAACGTTTTCCACGTTGTCTCCCTCTCCTTCGGGGAACTCTCCGAAGACACCGCTTTTCCCACGTGCGACCCCACTCGCTCCTTTCTTTCACCCTCCATCACCAACCTCCCTCATCTCAAAACCTTGTTCTTTTACCGTTGTTTCACTTACAACCCTCACCCCATCCCACCCTTCTTGGGCCTGTTGGGCTCTTCCTTGCAAACTTTAGTCCTCAGAGAAAACGCCCATGTTGGGCCTATCCCTGTGGAGTTGGGTAACCTCACCCGCTTGAGAATCCTCGACCTTCATAAAAACAATCTCAACGGATCTATCCCTCTCTCATTGGGCCAGATCACCGGGTTAAAATCGTTGGATTTGAGCGGTAACAAACTAACCGGTTCTATACCCGGTTTAGCTTTCCCCTCTTTAAACGTATTGGACCTCAGCCAGAATCTTCTCATGGGCCCAATTCCCTCCACGCTTTGTGACTCCCGCTTCCTCATTAAATTGGACTTCAGTCGTAACCGCCTTGTGGGCCCCTTGCCGGGGAAACTCACGGCCCTCAAGGAACTTGTGCTTTTGGATTTGAGCTACAATCGAATCCAGGGCCCGTTTCCGGTTTCTCTCAGGAGCTTGGTTTCTCTTCAGGCCTTGATTCTGAAAGGAAACCCAATGGGCTCAAAGATTATAGATGGGTTTGACGGTATGAAGGCCCTAATGATCGTGATTTTGTCGAACATGAATTTGCACGGGCCGTTGCCAGAATCACTGGGCCGGTTAGCGAACCTTCGCGTGGTTCATCTGGACGGGAACCACTTGAATGGGTCGATTCCGAAGAGTTTTAGGGATTTGAGAAACCTGAGTGAACTGAGGCTGAATGATAATGGGCTTAGTGGGGTGGTGCCGTTTGACAGAGAAATGGTTTGGAGGATGAAAAGGAAGCTGAGGCTGAATAATAACTCTGGGCTTTGTTATGATTATGATGCGTTTGGGGATAGCGTGGATTCCACGTTTGATTTGGGTATCAGTTTGTGCGAAACTTCTTCGAGTCCAGGGTCGGTTAGGACAGTGCAACATGTTTCAGCTACGGAAAAGTCTATGCCAACAATCACACATGTCACATCAGATGCTGTCCAAGCACTTACAACGTCACTCGGAGTAGCTACTTTTGTTCTGTTTACTATGATTTTGTTGTGATTGTGAGTAAGTATATAACTAAATATTCATATTCATAGTAAAAGAATCCGAGGACGCCCTTGTCAGCAGCCAGCACTAAAGAAGAAAAAATTGTTAGTACATCTACAGTCTCGTAAATAGATTCGGCGTTCTTTATTTTATTGTCTTTCAGTTGTCGAATATGAAAACATTATAACAAGTAGGGCTGAGCATTAAACCGACACCCGAATCGAACCCGAAAAACTCGATAAAAAATATTGTTTTTGGGTGGGTTCGGGCGGGTCTTATGGGTAAATCGGGTTAAAATTTTGACTTTATACGGGTTATATTAGGCGGGTTCGGTTTTGAATTTTTAAACCCGCCAAAAACCGAACCCAACTGAAAATGAGATAAGTTTAAATTTTTATTACTTTTGTATAACTAAACAACAATGGTCCAAATTTAAAAGTCTTTATTTCAAGTATAATATAGCCATCAATTTGTAACTTTTTTTTTTCCTTTTTCTCATAACTTAGATATTTATTTTATCTTCTCCTTCCTCATTCAACTTCTCAACACACTAGTCCATTTTTAGAGTTATCTTTTTGCTTCTTTCTTTGTCTTTCTTTTCCATCTTCTTATCTCCATTTTGAGTACATTTTGTGTGACTGTGATTTCTTATGGTTTTGTAATCTAACTTTATATTTTTTTTCCATGTAACAACTATGAATTTTGTTATCTTTTATTTTTGCTTCTTTAGTTTGTAAATGTTTCAACTACGAATCTACTTACACCATCTATTGTCACCTTCATTCTATTTTTATATACTATTTTAAAAATATTTTTTTATCGTTTTAAGCTTCATCTTCCTTAAGATAAATTGGTTTACAAAAAAATTCAAACCCGATTATACCCACCCGCTTAAATCCGAATTCGTTTCAACCCGAACCGCCTCAAATCGAAAGCTCAGTCGGTCGGATATGGGTCACATTTTTTCAAAGTCGGTTTACAATGGGTTGGACATTTTTCACCCGAACCCGACCAAACCCACCCGTTGCTCACCCCTAATAACAAGTAATCGTAAGAGGAAATAAATAAATGAAAGTTAAATAAAAATTACTCAACCTTTTTTAATCAACTGGTACACCTCAATTATAAAAAAGTTTTATTAATATTTATTTTAAATTTATTTTAGTTATGTAAAAGAAAATGTGATTAAGCGATAGAAAACTTGAACGGATACTTTATTTTTAATTTATAAGTATAATTTATACAATATTTTCATGTTAATAATCAATAACTAATTTATAATCACACAACATCATTCAATGAACATAATGTACCTGAACGGATATGATAAGGAAAAAAGATTAAGCAAAGCTAGGAAGAATTGATGTATGTGCTTTAAATAATTTTTAATACATATTTTGTGTTGTAAAATTGTTGTCCATCTTCGTATAATAACGAACAAGAGTCTTTTTTCTAATATGGAAAATATACAATAGTAAAATTAACAATAAAATGAAACGTGTGATAATACTATCTTCAAGGATTTATTTGCGTAATGTGCAAGTCTCCTAGTATATAACAAGTCTTTCCCAATAAATAATTGAGGTAATAAATTAACAAATTTTTCAAATGAGAATAACCAATGAGACTCATAATATAATCAAGAAAAGATGTGTGAGGAGATACTCTCAAAGTCTTTTATATGTTATATTTATAATGAAGAAAAATTATTTATCAAAATCACATTTTACCAAGTCATAAAATAAGATATATTTATCTCTTGAAGATCAAGTCAAAATATAAGATAAGATTTAATTTAAAAGACCAAATTAATAAGATTAAATCTAATTAAAATATTTATTTAATAAAATAAAATAAAATAAATATAATTTTTTTTAGTTAAATAAACATATTAATCTTTTGGAAATATAAAAAAAAAATACAACATCTTGATAGTGCACATCTGGAAATTGGTGGCATAATGGACGTGTAAATATACAGAAAACAATGTTGACATGAGAGAAACAGTGTAAATGTGATGTGATGAGTAGCTAGCAGCATTATTCGTTTGCTTTTAGTTCAGTGTGATGAAAATAAATGCTCAATGAAATTATTGTAACTAGTTCACGTCGTGGATACAAATCATAACATCAAAATAGTCAATTGTCGGTTTAGAATAGAGGATTATGAATTTGAATGGATAACGGTGGCTAGTGAGCAAAGTATTAGATCATACCTCTATTTATTTTCCGCATGAGAAAAAGAGAGACCTCCCTTAATTATTACCTATTTCTTTCTTTTTTCACACAAAAATATCTCCAAACAGACACTAATTCTAATTATTTTTTAGATGTAGAAATAATAAATTGAATTTGTGATTTACAACATATTTGCTGATTTTCAAACATCTGAAAGCATATCCAAAGAAATCTATTTACCGATTGTTAATTGTTATCTCTTTAATCTCAAAACATTACACGAGGGATTTTGAGTATCAATCACAATTATTATGTGTCAAATATATATATAAGTACCATAAATATATTATAGTTTAGGGGACCATATAGTTATAAAGAGATGTCGGTAGTCGTTTGAATTTCAAATGTGGTGATTAGAAAAATGCCAGTAAGAAGTCATGCTCATCAGCCAAATTTAATCCCCTCACTGCACGCAACACACATATATATAAATATGTGTTAATTTTGGACTAATTGATCAAAGTGGGGTCAATCTAGAAATTATTTACTGAAACGGGACTTTTAGGGGCTACCTTCAGGTATTTGGTTATACTACAAATTGTTTATTGTATACTAAGCAGAAAAAAACAAATAAATTATTGCCCTATAGTTTGCACCTTGAGTTAAGAGTGTCGGTTTCTCTATGTTTTCACATATAATGTAATCTGTGAAGTGGGAAATGTTCAGCAGAAACTCTGTAGGGAGAAAGTGTATGTTTCGAACTTTAACCCAAGAACATTTTTGAAGGGTGAAATTAATATTTGAGTTTGATGAGTAGTATTAAACTAATAATTCTATAATTAAGTGAGAAATAGAATCCTTAGGTCTTAATATTGTGCTGTGGAAGTTGGTAGAGGTCAAGGCAACAAATATAAAGAATTGTAGGACAACTCATTTAACATGTTTTAGAGGACAACTCGCGGTCCTGACATCAATCATTGAATCATCATTGGCCTACCTAGTTAGTAAAATTATATTATATACAAATATGCTGCCACCTTCACCTCACATTGTAGCCAACTCAAATTATTTATTTACCCAATCTCATGTATCCGAACAAAAATTCTATATGTTATACTACTTCCCTACCATAAATAATGTTTGTTTTGGGAGGGGAAAAAGAATAAGATAAACGATAATTGATTTTATAAGTAATAGATAAAAAAAAATTATAATTATTTTATAGAGTAAAATTTGATAAATAAATAAAAAATAGAGAGAAATTAATATTTTAAAAATATATTTTATATAATTAAATTTTATTTTATATAAAAATATATTATTTAGATAATTATATTTTTATTTTTTATTAACTAATTATTTAGATAATAGTATAATATTAATTTTATTTAAATATTTATTGAAAAAATTCATGAAAATTCATAAAGTGAAATTAAATTTACATGAGTATCGTTATAAATCTACTTAAATCATCTTTCTTAAACATTTTTTTTAATTCATCGATAATCTCTCATTTTCTTCTTCATTCTCTACTAAATTATCTCTTCAAATGCACTACATAGTTGATACATATAGATTAAAAAAGTAGATACAAATTAAATATTACTACTATTATATTTAGATTAAAATATTCTTTTTTTTATCTCATTACTATAATAATTAATTAATTAAAAAAATATATATATATATATATATATATATATATATATATGTGTGTGAATATATATTAATAATAATAATATAGAAAAATGCATTTGCGCAATAAAGCTTACGAGGGCTTTTACGATTACCAAAAAAAAAAAAAACAGAGAAAAGACGCATATGATAAAATGAGTAGTGTAAAAGATCAAAATAAAAAAAATAATAATAAAAAGTATTGTGAAAGTATAATTTTGAATAATATATATCTCTTTCAACCAGTCATATTACCTTTTTTTTTTTATTTTGTTATTTTTTCCCTTACCATAACTATGTGATCTCAAAGTTTTGAGAATGCGTTCAGGTCTAATAAAAAAAACTTATGATATAAAAAATGTTATATATATATATATATATATAAGATAGAACTTTAATTTTAATTAAAGAATACACATCTTCAATCATATTTAAAGAAAGAGTTGTACCTAAATTTTGTTCATACATTACTTTAGTTATCTCTTATTAAAATATTTTCGATACATATTTTACAATAGACTTTAATATCATTTGAAATATGTATTATATTTTTACTAACCTACAAAATTAACTTTGTAAGTTGAAAGTTGACCCACTAATAAGTATTATTTTAATCATTTTGAAGTGAAAATTTAAATATAAATCATATATAATAATCAGTTAGTTTTATATTAAAACAATGTCCTTGTTTCTGATTATAAAGGGACTTTTACGGAGAGGAGTGACTAATTAATATTTTTAGAAGTTAAGAAGTTGATGTACTTGTATCATCATGTGAAGGAAGAGCTGATTAGTATTCTACCACTCCTATATATACGCCTAAAAAATGGATGTTAATTAATCTCTTTATTCTCTAGCAAGCAGTGTGACAAGTTATAACTGCCAAAACTCTCCGTCTCTTTATGCTTACGCATCTAAACGAAAATGCACAACAAAGACAATTATTTATGCTTCACTTGACTTTTACAGTGGAAAAGCACTGTCAACAAGACAACAATTGTCCAACTAGTGGCAATTAATATATAAATAAACATCAATATGAAATTGAAAACATTGGTGGCAAAGTACATATATCTTGTAAAAATCATTCGAGGAAAATTTTTATCATTTACTACGTAATGATTGCTTGTTGAATCATTTTTTTGTAATTATAGGTTAACCGATATATAATATATTGAACTAAAAACAATAGTTGGGAGAACAAATATGAGTAAAGAATAAGTCTTACGTTAACGTAAGACGTATATAAGTAAGTTGAACAATATATATAAATGGGAAGAATTTAAATACATGATGCTTTAAAGTTTTAGTTAAATATAATTTTGTTTTTATATAATTTATTAGTTATGTCCCACAAGTTAACCAATATATGTAAGTGAAAAATATTGATAAACTTTATTATATTTTTGTATTCACAATAAATCATATATATATATATATATATATATATATATTTGTGAGATCAAATATTCGATATAAAGAGGTTTACAATATTTTTTTTAATTATTTTTTCATTCACCATAAACATAATATTTTAAGATTACGATGTTAAGATGTTTTGTCCACCACCTCACTTGTATAGTTTAAAAAAATTACTAATATAATTTACTGGAGCTATATTAATGGAGACTCCCCGTCTATAGGAATCTTGCCCTTAATCATAATAGATTAATAGTGCATGTCCATGTTTCTCCAACAGTTTTACAATAAAGTACGAATTTTACCTATGAATTAGATTTTATGAAGTGGAAAGTAGTCAATCACGATGATGCTGATTTGCTTGAATTCAATTTACAAAGGTTATTATTCCATCAACAATTTCCATTCATTCATAAATGATTTCCAATTCTGCAATCTTGCTTAAACTACCCTTTTGCATCATTATAACAAAATTATAAGTATGAACTTGGCACTAATATGCATTCAAAATACATGATTGGTAGATTTTATCATGTGTAGTTTTCTGATCATGTCTTCCTCTCTAATCCTAAGCGGGGCACACTTCGTATAAATAAATCCATTAATATATATCTTGTCTTACTCTTACATCCTATGAAGGAACTTTTACTTATTTTATACTGTTTTCTGATCATGACTTTCTCTTTGATTCTAAACCAAAGGCACACTTCATATTACTAAATCCATATTCACATCTTGAAGGAACTTTTACTATTTTTTTTTATTACACGATATAATATAAAATACGACTCTACAAAGTTAAGGAAAAGCAATTTCTTTAGTGTATAATAATGAATGCAGTTGTTCATACAACTTTTTTATAATGCAAATATATATATATATA